GCCAGCGGTAGGAAGAGAGGGGTGAGACCTGCAGCAGCCTCACAGACATTGCAGCTGAGGGAGAACCTCGTGGGCTTTTGGGGCTCGAGACCCCCCCTGTGGCCAGTGAACTGCTGGGTGGCTGACTGGAAATGAGCCACTCTCCTGAGGTGGTGCCACCTCTCGGGAGGGCAGGAGGAAGAGATTTTTCCCTTTAAGGAACGGGCATTCTGCTCTTTCTATCTGGACGATGGGCTACAAGAGGGGATCCTCTCCGCTGGGCCTGGTGATCCCTTCTCCTGGCCTCCTCATCACCCGATGGAAGGGGCCCTGCCTGGTGCTCCTGAACAACCCTGGCCTCCATTTTGGAGTATGCTGCTGCCCCACAGGCTACAGCATGAACAGCTTTAGCTTTTTGTCCAGCTGTGGGAGGGTTAAATCATTTCCTTCACCTCTTCCCTGACCACTGAAGAAGCAGAAGCACAGAGGAGTGCCCTGAGGTGCTCAGCCTGGGGCTGGAGCTTTGTCAGCAGAGCCAGGAGCCCCTCAGAGCAGTGCCCTGTTCAGTCAGCCACTCAATTCAGTCCTGTCACACTTTATGTTAAAATGTCATGACCGAAGCAGAGTTTATTGAAATTGTGTATTTAAGCCAAAAAAAAAAAAGTTTCTTCCTGTGTTAGTACCTGCTCTGAAGTGAGAGCTTCCATCTTCTACGTGCTCTGTGCATCTGGAAGCAGCTAAGTGGGTAATAAGGATGCCAAAAAATGTCTTCAGTCTTCGAAGACATAATCTGCATATGCTCAGCTCTGTACATGACAGCAGTTCAACAGGACAGTGGTAATAGGTTAGTCTTCACGGACATCAGGACTTAAATAGGAGGTGGTTTGATTGCATGTCGAAATATCTATGGCCTGTGGGACTCCTTATCCTCCTATTGCATACTAATTCCCTCTCCGTGCCCACATCTTTTTGCTCACACTGTATTTTTATCGCGTAGTTTATTTTTGTCATGACTGTGTTGTGCTCCCGAGTAATACAAGAAGACTGACTGTGCTGCAGAGTTCAGCGCTGGCTTCTGAGTGATTTTTTCCACTGTTGAATAGGAGACTGCTGCTTGGAGGGCAGCCTTTTTCCTGGCCTTTGGCAGACCTCACGCCTGCAATGGTCGATAGATCGCTGTGTAGCTGGTTATTCTGACAGGTAACCAGCTCGTTGTCTTGGCCCCGGGCTGCTCGGTAATTGAAACGCCTCCTCAGGATATACAAAATAAAGAATGGCCAAGCGTGAAAGCTTGGTTGCAGACTCGTCCTGGCTTGCTGTTTTTCACAGGAATGCAGCTTCCTGGTCCTTGCAATGTATTTGGATTGTGGCAGCATCTCTGAGAGGGGAAGAGAAATGAGCAGGCAAGGGCTGGAAATGCAGCTGGTTCTGCTTCTTGCTTTTGATAGAGCAGACTTCTGGTAGGCTGCTAGGTTTCATTAATCATATTTAAGTTTCTGTCACTAACTTTTAATTAAAAGCATGGTTGATACCACTTTAATGAATGTACGGATGTTAGCCATCTTCATGCATAAAAATGGTTTTTAATTCCCTTACTATTCCCTTTATGGCCCTTAGATGCTTTTGTTACCATTTAAACAGCATACAGTAGCAGCTGTTTATCTTCTTAATATAACTTTTTCTTGCATCTGTGTTCAGGAAACAGTAATGGTTTAAGTAAACAATTCCCTGGTATCCTTTAATATTTTTTTTAAGTAACTTGGCAGAAAGGGTCATAAGTGATGTCTAAATAGTGAACTCCAAGGCTCTTGCTGACAGTAGCCTTTAACCTAACATAACTCTGCTTAAATCATTAGCTGTTCCTCATGCTTATGTGAGGTGGTGAGGAAAGTAAGAAGCCCTCAGTGCCTGACTTTTGATTCTGATGAGCTTAACAAGGATCATTCCCCAAAAAGATAACTTCTTATTAAAATATCCTTTCTATTTTGGTTTGCTTCTGATAGTGTATTTGAATGTGTTTGTCGCTTGTTGTGCATCTAACAGCCTGAGCATTTATTGTGATTTACCATCTGGCAAGTGGGAGTTTTATCTAACTTCTCATTTTAGTTGACAGCAACCAGTTTGGAAAGACCTTGTCCTGATTTTTTTTTTTTTAATAGAAATTCTCAAAACTTGCAACTGACAGTGGTGCTAAGGGGTTTTGAATTTAAATAGTCTTTTTATTCACAATTTGTTACTGCTTCTGCGAGTTGGCCAAAGAGAGAAGCAGCACATCCTTCAAACAAGCTAATTGAAAGAAGGTTCCTCCAGTCAGTCCAAAACAGCATTAATCCCCCCCCACATTCGAATAAAAATCTTGTCGTTCAGTTGCTGTCTTGGCAGCCTGACTGGAA